TAATATTTCTATTTAGCTATTTATGTTTTTACTTGAAATCAAACTTAACAAATATTATATAAATAGTTTTATTTGTGTATTTGATTAACAAATAGTAACACTAGTCAATATTTATGATAATATTTTTAAATTATAATTTAATTTAAAAAATTATAAAAAATATAATTTTAAGAAAAGAGGGCTGGCCCGGCAAAGCCCGTAGCCTACACACTTGTGGGTTGGGCCGACCATTTTATGGCCCACATAAAAAATGGGCTAGCCCGGCCTGACCCGTCAAATTGCAAAGCATGTATGGGTTAGCCCGAATGGGGTGGGCCATCCCATATTGACAACTCTATTGTTGGCCTTGAGTCATAGTCTAAGTTTTGATTTCTGAATCTAGTTTGCTTGTTTTCTCGATTTGTTACAAGGAAGTTTCCATTTATTTTGCTAGTAAAATCGTGTAAGTTGAATAAGTTACTGCTGTACTTCCTTCTTTATGATTTTTTTTTTTTTTAGAAATTGATACTACGCACTTTGCGACATGCTTATTTAGTCTTTTATGCACTCATGTGTTTTTAGCTTTCTACTTGCCTTTATTCAAATGCTATATTCGCAAGAATATCCTTACTTTGGGGGTTGCCTGTTGCCTCCCGTGTGTATCAACCTTTTAGAAAACAATTATTTCTCCCTTATCATGTGTTACTGCCTCAATAAGGTACCACCATCCACCTGTTAGTGTTCATTTATTTTTTGGAGTTTATTTGTTTTGTTTCTTTTTCTTTGTTAATAACAGTTAATGCAGTAGTACTCTTACATTCCCCTTAATTAATTGTTAACCACTAAGTGTGTTTTCCAAGTAGAATCTGGTTTTCTTCTTTTAATGCTTGTAACATCAAATATGTCGGATACAAAGTGTTGCATCTTATATTTCGGAGTTAGGTTCTTCGTATTATTATCATGAGTATGGGTCGAGTTTCCTGTCAAAGCTATGCCTGTTTGCTTCAGTATCATTGACTCTTCTAAATTATACTCGAGATCCCATGATGAGCTATTAATTTGTATGTTTTGTTTTGTTTATGCATGATTTCCCATGGGTTGTAGTTGGAGTCAATCACAAAATAGTTGTAGTAGGAGTCGGCTATATGAATCATCTATAGCTGTTGTGCTTTATTTGGGCCTTCGTCCCTTCTTTTCCCATTTAACTTGTAGTGAAGTTGATGTGGATCTCTAGCTAATATTTATCTTGGAAAATCCCTGTTATTGCACTTGCTTTTGACTGATGAATGGGTTGTTCTGAGGTTTTGATCTTGGTGGGTTGTCATATTGTAGATAAACAATCTCTGTAAGGATTTCCACGGTTTCAATGAATAGCACCGATCATGCACCAGAAACACCAACACTTAAAATCAAGGCGTTCTTTGAATCAGCTCCACCACTAAAAGATGCTGCTGAAATAGAGACAAAATTGAAGGAATTTATCGACCGGAATTCATCATCAGGCAAATTTTCTTCCATTCAACTATCATAGCTTGTATTTTTTCAACTTCCTTTCCACAATCTGGATATTGACAATGCCATGTACTTTATTCTGACTTTGTCTTTATCATCATGTTCAGGGAATGGAAAAGCAAATAGGGTGGTGTGTGTGACTTCTGGCGGTACAACTGTTCCTTTGGAGAAACGATGTGTTCGTTATATTGATAACTTTAGCTCTGGTCATAGAGGATCTGCTTCCACAGAGTATATCATGAAAAACCATACTTAAATTTTCTAGTACACATTTGGTTCATGTAACGTCTTACATTCAAATTAAACTGGAATTGCAGGTACTTTTTGAAGGCTGGTTATTCTGTCATCTTTCTGTATCGTAGGTTTGTGTCAAGTGCATTGCTATGTATTATCATTATCCTGATCACGTTTCTTCCCTTCGAAAAATAGTATATGCTCTTGACTGGATTTTAAGGCCATGAAACTCTACATATGCAGGGGAACCTGCCAGCCATTTTGCAGATCACTGCCTGATGATCCATTGCTCGAGTGTTTTACTTCAACTGATGACTCAAGTATTCAAGGTCTGTTAGTTTTTGCATTTATGCCCAATACAGATGCACGAGATTTTTTTCGTTTTAACAGGGGGGCAGGAGACCTAATAAAATAGATGTGAGAATTATAAAAGGAGGAAATATAATGTGATAGAATTTGGAAAGTTACTTCTGTTTATATTAGTATTCCTAATTTCCTTTATGTCGATGTTGCCCACATCCCAGCTTGTTAGGTGTTACCTCGGGTGGTTGGCAGGGATATTTACCACTGTTGCTTGGAATATTTTGAACCTGGCTGATGTTGTTGACCATTTTATGCTTTTCAGTGGACCCATCGCATGCTGAAGTGGTGAAGAGAGCTATTGCTGAAAATCGTTCTGTAAAGATCTTAATCAATTATTCATTTTAAAAATTTCAATTACATTTGTCAGTAATTAACTTAAGAGTTTCTTATTGCAGGCAGTTAATGGCGGTTTCCTGCTGAAATTACCGTTTACAACAATTTTTGAATATTTACAGGTCATGTTCAGTGGTTTTTTTTTATTTTTTATGATAAGTAGGTTATGTTCAATAGATTGGTGCAAATCTATTTGGTGTACTTAATTCTAAAAACTTCTACTTTGAGTAACCAATATGCTCCATAACTGATATGTTGTATGAAAGCTTGTAAAAGAGAGTATTAAATGTGGTTTGTGTTAAACAGATTCTTCGGATGATAGCTGTCTCTTTAAGGAGCCTTGGTCCTAGTGCTATGTTCTATCTTGCAGCTGCAGTTTCTGATTTCTATGTACCGTGGGAGAGCATGGTAATCATTTATTCCTTCTTGGCGCTGTTTTGGTTGAATTTGCAGTTGGAAATGGTTGGATGCAGTTCAATCTTTGTTCTGTTTTTCTTCTTCGTTGTCTCTTGACTTCTTTTGTTTCAATACCAGAAATGCCAGGTATATAACAATAACAACCACGCCTCAATCCCAAGGTAGTTAGGGTCGGGTGTATGAATCCTCAATATCATAAATGCTCCATGCTTCATTATATTTCAATAATCCGTACTTACGGATTATCTAGCACTAGGATTTCTCTAATATACCTTAGTGGGTATATCTCTTATATACTAAAAGTCTTTTAGTAAGCACTAGCCTTCTCGTTGGTAGTCATCACTGCAGATTTTAAGCTTTCATTATTTTCTATCTTTTGATAGATCTGTCTGGACTCCAAGATATTCCAAATAATCTGAGATGACTTCTTTCCATGTGATTTAAGGTCTACCGGTGCGAGGTGTACATAACACATGGCCAAACCATCTCAAGCAATATTTTCTCATTTTATCCTCTATATGTGCGGCTTGCACCTTCTAACATATGTGATCATGTTTTTCTTATCTAATTTAATATTACTACACATTTATCTTAACATTCGCATCTCTTCGATACTCATCTTGTGGATATATTGAGCTTTTAGAGGGCAAGCAGAACTTTCCTTTTGCTCTGGTAGGTAGAAATGATAGATATATAACAGATAATTTTGTTCTTCTCACATCTTCTGGTATTTGCTTAATATAAGCTCCTCTTTACAGACAATGCATAAGATCCAGTCAGGATCTGGTCCTTTGGACATGCGGCTTGCTCAAGTACCGAAGATGCTTTATGTGCTTAGGAATGAGTGGGCACCTGTGGCTTTCTGCATATCTTTCAAGGTTAGCTGATCATCTCTTGAGTTTTCTTTAACGATCTTGAAGTCTGCTGTACCTGTAAAACTATGGGGACTGAACAATTAACCTGTGTCGAATATATATTGAGAGAACCGTGCATATGATGCTGTCTGGAACTAATAAGATCAAACTCATATTTTCTCCATCTTATCCACGCAGCTCCATTTTTATTTTCTCAGGTGTTCGAACTTTTTATTTGACATAAATTTGCAAATACTTGCATTCTATTTCCTACAAGTTTCAAGAGTTCAAAACTAAACTTTCCCCCACAACTATTACGTATATATATATATGAATGTGACCTGTATATCTTCATATCTCTGCTCATCACATAGTGTGAATACTGATTTCAACGTTTACTTTTTAACAGCTGGAGACAGATACAGATATCCTTTTAGGGAAGGCTGATATGGCCCTCAAAAAGTACAAGATGCATATGGTGGTAGCTAATGAACTTCAAACTCGTAAAGAGGAAGTTATAGTTGTCACAGAGCAGGAAAAAATCACAGTTCGTAGAGACACAACTCAGCGTGGGGCTGATGTCGAAGATCCATTGATTAAGCTTGTTGTGGACAGACATTCAGCATACATCGATGCATGATCTCTTGAGCACTGACCAACGATAGTTTTGCGGATTTGTAAACCTGACTTCTTTGAGGATTGTATTACATCTGTGCAACAATTATGTAACCAGCTATTTTAAAGGAGAAAAACCCTTCCACCCCACTTAACCAACTACCACAGGCTCTCTTGAAAGAAGTAAAAGAAAGAGGGTGCCTTCTAGTTGTTCCAATTGATGAGTCTTTTTTTTTTTTTTGTTGTTGTTTTCTTGTTGAAGAATAAGTTTTGTGCACGAAAAAGGCGCTGAATAAATTAGTAAGATATGTTCTTCAGTGTTGGCTCTGATTCTTGCTGTTCCCATGTAGAAGTTAGCAGCACCATATTACTCCTTTTTCTCTGGGCATGATGTATTTCTTGATGATAGCTGTTTATTAGCGTCTTTGTGGCTCTAAATCATACCGATAATGCGGTAACTGGAACCATTCTTTAACTCTAAACTTGACGTGAATCTCGTCTTGTATGAAGGTAGTGTTACGATGAGCTCACACACATCTCGACTATTTCATTAGGTACCTGATCTTCACCTAATGAACACTATACAGGATTTGATCGAACTGTCGGATCGTTGTTAAGGAGCATCGGTATTAGTAGAAAGAGATACAGCATCAATATACCCACCCACAGATAATGAGTCTACAATGGCAAATAGAAAACTAAACGTTTCAACCTTGCCAAGTTCAGTATAGTACAAAGTTAACCTATGATTGATGCTCATCTAAATAACTTAAAAAGATAACTATTTTTTCATTTGTAAAGTGATATATGGGAGATATCATATATACAGCTTTTCTTCCTGTATTGCACAACACATTGTTTTAACCTGAAGTAGCTTTCCAAGATACTGTATTCTTCACCAGGTCCATGGAGGCGAACCAATACGCGTGGCATCTTCTATAGATTCTTGTCGTCCTCCTCCGCAAGCTCCAGACCTTCAGCAGCCAGAAGCCTGCTAATGACTCTTTTCTTTTCTTCCTCTGCTTTTCGCCGCATTATATCTCTTTTCCTTAAGACAAGTGTATGCCGCTTTAACGTAATATTAAAATTCTCCACAGAAGCCTTTCTCTCTTTAGCAATGATTCGCCTTTCTTCTTCAGGATCCATCTGAAAAGGTCCATAAAATTTAGATGACGCTTGGAAAGAAGTGTGCATCATATTTATATTCTTCAGGAGTGGAATGAAGGGAACGACATAAGGAATGAGGAATGGAAAACTGCATCATATGTATGATATAATGCAGATTGAGTGACCTGCTGGGTATATGGCTAATGCTAGTTCACCAAATTGTCGAATATCTATCACTACGGTGAGAAGAGAGGAACTGAGAAGAAAGAAAGTGAAGATTGATGAACTGATTAAGACCATCCCAATGTATGTTAAAATATTTTTCTACGTGGGATATTCAGAGCCACATTATGTTAATGAGAGGTTAAAGGATATCAAAACACATCTTAATATGTGCATATCTTGAAGTGATATTCGTAAGTTAACAAGGGCAATACAGAATGCATGATTAGCAGGCTAACACACAGAGATACAAAACGTGTACTATAAGCAGTTCTATACCTTTGAATGAGCAAGGCGGCGGGCCTTCAGATTTAATTCTAGCTGCTGCTGTTCAGCCCATGCAGCAATGGCCATATCACCTCGTTGGTCAAATGCTTTTCGCTTTTTCATTAGCCACTCCACCCAAGCTTCGGATGCCTGATGAATAACAGAAAAGCATCATGTTAGTTTGAGAAAATGAAGATACTGCAGGCCCGAGAAGCTAGAGAACAAATAGCACCACATTAAGGAAACACTTCATTGACAGTAAAAAATATAAACAATCCAGCCATCTGACAAAGTAAAAGTTTGGGGGCAAATTATGGTGTCAATACTAGAACTTTGCAAAATCACTAAAATCTTAGTATTGGCAAATTCTGTCCACACTGAAAACTTATCAACCAAAATGATTCCTGTAATCCTGTCCATTGAATATGTACAACATCCACAATATGCAAAAGGAATATGTAATTTCTCATTTTCATATTCATTTCCCTTTCCACGTTTGCAAAATTTGGTAGTTTGACTTTGCACCTTAAAACAATCACTCAGGTATTTTAAAGAGGCAATATGAAGTATACTGAAAGGAGTACACTAAAGCATGTTCATTTGGCCTAGCAAAATTCACTTTCACACATCAACAAGAGGGCTATGTGTAGAACAGAGTCATTTAGATTCTAGCCCCTTTTTAGATTAATAACTGATACTACTTGGATAATAAGCAATCTTCTCTTTTTTTAATTGATGAAAAGATAATACATTAACAACTATCAACATTATTCTAAATTTTCACCTTCATGGGGTTTACTCGATTGTCTTTATCATATTTTCTCCGTTCGTCTGCATCTATAAGAAGCTCGTAAGCAGCTTGAATCTTAATGAATCGAGCTTCAGCAGTTTCTCCTTCCTCAAGTGTCCCTCTGCCATTATAAACTTAGAGGAGGAAGCAGAAGTAAGTTAGTTCCAGATAGAAGAGAACAGCCGATACAAGAGCTCTAGGAAATTGATTCTCTGACCCAACAAGTAATCACTAGGATTGACCAACAAGATGTGGCAACCATTTAAAAAATTCTTGATAAGATTTTCAACAGCCTAACTGGGAAAGAAGGCCTAATTTACTAAAATTTTGTTATTTGAGATTCATGATAGAGAAAATGGATATCCACACAACTGTAGTAGTTTGACCAAACTGGTTGAGCTAGGATTTCTTTTGGTATGATTATTAAATATTTCTTACGTGCAACTGAAATAGCTACGTGCACAGCTAAAATCTCATCTATGATATTTCCAGTTTCTACTTGCGAGAAATGGAGCACCTCAATAAATCAAATATTGATGGAAATGATCTCGTGGACCATAGAAAGTATTCCCTATCATCAATTCATGAGTTAGCTTTCTGACAAGCCTACTTTGGACTTATCAAATCCGGCTTTTGTGCTACAGGTATAGGTCATTTCACTAGTACAAAAAGACATCATATAAATCAGTTCCAAAGATAAAGAGAGATCCTATCCAAGGCTTGTTAAAAAACATAGAAAGGCATTCCACTAGTGAAGATAACTCAAGTCATAGCAAAAGCCAGAGAGCCAGGAGAAAAAGTGGAAGTGTAATATTACATGAAAGCTCTACTAATTGAAGATGAGCGTACAACTTACATATGGACACAGAACCAACTTGTCACATTTACGCATACATATACAAGCATATGTATTTACCGTATCTTTTTTCTTCTATACAAGGGCGTGAATAGAAGAGTCTTTTTCTTTACTATTCAGTGTCATGAATTCGATACCAGAGAATACCGTGCCAAACAAGTTCTTTTTTTTGTACATGCATACAAATATAGCTAAAATCAAAACTAGCATCAGATCAAAAAAGTACACAACATACTGATGCTGATTACCAAAAAGGCAAAAAAAAGGTAACCAAGAGAAAATGCATGTGTGAGGAATGCACTAAAGTGACAACTAAAAGAATAAGCACAAACCATCTGGATGGTAAAACTTCGCCAATCGTCTATATGCCACTTTTATTTGTTCTACATCAGCATCCCCTTCTAGTTCTGTAAACAGAAACATTGCATCAGTTTTTGCAAATATTGCAAAAGTACTGAAATGCACAGAGTAAGAGGGAAAGGACTCCACTGTGCTTTATAGTCCACTAGCACTAATATGAAGGAGCTCTAAAGGTAGTTTCAGTGTGTCTTATTACTAAAACCAGCAAAATCAAGTTGGTAGTGTATAGACACTTCATAAAAGTTAAATAAGTTGGAATGAGATTGTTCATATAGGCAAATGACACTTTTACACATATATCCCAAGATGAAGACGTCCTTTATGAAGCCAGATCAGATAAACACCAAACAAAAAAAAAGAATAATAGAGAAGACAAGAAATGAAAAGATTAAAAGTTGAAAACTCATACACACATAGAACTCTTGAAACTATGAAAATGCACCATGTTAATTAGAAAGATTTGCTACCGATATAGAAATTCTCTTCCAAACATGTAGTCTTTGAATATTTTTTTTCCAGCTTCCTTGTTGTTCTAATATGTTAACTTAATCTAGCAGAGCTAATAATTTTGTTTTAACGCAGTTTCGCAACTCCTAGATCCTCTATATTTTGCTAAAAGTCAAGTATTTCACACAACACAAATGTTCCTAAACATTATTCAATTCAAATGTATCTTTGATCAGAAACTATTTGTTCTTCCTTTGCATTTTCTATAAGATGTTTTTCTCATCATAGTTCCCACTTCCCAGTCAAATTGAGTTCAACTTCTATTCTTTGACAACAACGGTCCACTACGCCTCAATCCCAAACAAGTTGGGGACTGCTATATGAATCGTCCCCTACCATGATACTCCATATAAACTCATGTCAGACCACTATAATATAAAATACAAATAACTTCAAGTGTCTATTTTCATGGATTGGTAACATAGAATATATTAAACCACACTTATTCTGCAAAAAAAATAAAAATGATTTTACATTGTCACTATATATAAGTTAAATCCAAGCAAACCAAAAGCAAATCATTTAAAAGCCAACTACTGGTCCTACGTTTCGATTTGTTTGTCTTACTTTGTTTTTACAGTCCATTTAGAAAAAAACTCTTTCCTTTTACAGCAACTCCCTGTCCCGTCAAAATCAGACAAACAAATTGAAACCGAGGGAGTAGTTCAATACTCAAACATACCGAGAGTTTCATAGGGAGACTTTGAATCGTTCCAATTATAAGCAGAAGTAGTCACCATTCTCCTCTGCTGATTCAATCGATGATCCCAAGTTTCAATTCTACTCGAAGTATGATACCATGGTTGCAGCACCGGTGGTTTAGTCCATCGAGGAACTGAATTAGGGTTCCAAGTTGAAACCCTAACTGTTGATTTTCCCAATAAGTCTCTGCAACAACAAGTAATTGAAAAATACACAACTTGAGGCCTACAAATAGATCTCAAATTGCTCATAATTTTCTATTTTTGGTTGTTAATTTCACTCTTCACAGAGTATTTCAGATTTCTATGCCATTAATGGAGTAGAAAATTGGAAGAAGATTTGATGAAGTGATAGAGAAATGAATCTTATTCAATATTAAATTTTTTGTTTCCTCAAAAATTCTCTTCTAATTTTGTGGACGGTTTATTTCGTTACATTTGGAGGAAAAAGAATTAGCTAATGACTGTTGTACCCTCGACCTTTACATTTAAAAACACAATATCTATGTGATGTGTCAATTTATTTGGCTACCACATAGGCGGTACAACAACTTCGCTATTCTCCCTTTCTAAGTAGGAGTTCAACGGAACTTCAAGTAAAGTATAAAGGAACAACAAATTTCGAGTAGGATATGTAATACAGGATATGTAATACGTCCAGACGACGCGTTGCACCGGACGCTTCAACTTTCTTAGCTCCAACTTAGCAGAAGGGGCATATTCTCCCCCCTTACTCAACATAGGCTCACCGTTCATGTCTTTTTTGATCTGATTCGATAGGATTATGGATGAGGCCCTTACTTAAAAGGCTTCAGTCCTATTTGTGTTTGAGCCCCTTTGAAGACAACCAGGAACTACCAGCACAAGATTCAATATTTGAATAAGCCAATCCAATAAATTTGCTCATTTGCAAGAAATTTCTATATGATTTATAATAGTGAAAGATTAAACCCAAGCAAAATCCGCAGTAACATTTCAAGGGAATGTAACTAATGGAACATATAGGAATAATAGGTACTATTCTTTTTTTGTTGACCCTCATTTGAATTGATTGGATGCTTGAGCAGTGGATGCTATGTTATCCAAACTCCTAGCATGAATGATTATCGTTGCACTAGCCAATTCCGACATAGATTTAGAATACAACCTTCTGTCTTCTCCTCTTTTCTGTTGACGTTGGCTCACATGTGAATTAGTAAAATAAAACGAATTTGATTTTATCGCGTGAATAATATTAAAATATTATTCTCTTTACTTTGTCATCAAAGTTAAAATGCCGATGGATGCATGTCAGGTTATGATTTTCCTGCTAAATTTGTGCACTTGTTATGTCTTGTGTGACATCTCTTGGACTCCTTAAAAATGTCAATGAATGCGTATCGAATACTTCAATTTTGAAGAGTATGAGCAACATAGATTAGGAGACTTAACCTCGGCAATAATGATAAAGATATGAGGATATTTTATTACTTGTAAAATCAGATACAAATAGGAGGGAGTACTCTATTCAAACTAATAAGTGGGAGAAAACTCTCTCCATAATACATTTTTCAGTTTACACCATGTGTAAAAATCACATTTTCCAGATTTCTGAGTTTCATAGTTAAATTTCTCTACTCTCATCAAGTTCTTATTCTAGAATTATACACATCCCCCTTCCCTATGTACATAAAATTCTTGAAACTTGCCAGGATACCACCTGAATAATATGCGTTTTCCGAGTATGAAATTCTAGACAAGACTTCGTAGTTAACAGCTACATTCGAGGAAACTTAGTTATCGTCGTCTGCTTTGCTCGTAAAAGGCTAGGTAGGTTCACGAGGACGAGCAGCCCAAAGAGAACTTAGAGCACGAAGACGTTGAAGATACTCCCCAAACGAGAGTAACCCCCTGGCTGATTGGCGTGTAGTCAGGACAAGTGACAATTGTTGAAGTGTTTGCTGTCTAAGGTGATCTGCCTGTTAAGAAAATATGAGTAGCATCAAAGATTATCATTTGATAAGTAACTTTCCACGACCACATGACATGTATAAGACCACAAGATTCAGAAGTCCTTTTTACTTTCTTAAACTCTGTGTCAAGCTGAAACCAGACAAAAAAAAATTGAAACGGAGGGAGTAATAGAAAGTGTTACCTGGTTAACGAAACCCTCGAGTGCTTCTAACTTTTCCATACTAGAAACCATCTGAGAACTGTAACTTCCCATTCCAGTGGTCATAGTTAGGATGTTCTGTGCCAGAGTCTGCTGAAGTTTATCCATTCCCTGAGTGAGAGCATCCTCGGCTTGCTGACAACAGTGTCGCAGATTACAGATTTTCACGATCTGCTGATCTGACAATGGCTCAAGTTGTGGCATCACGATCTATAAAATTGACGTTACAATGAGAAATTTCACACTTATTTGATAAGTTGCAGGCAGAACTTAAGGAAATAACACAAGCAAGAGATAAAAAGAATACGAGTGGGACTAATGGACGGTGAATGTTAGAGATACAACTAGATCTCAACATCATTAGATGAGAATTTCAATCAACACAGCAAGGATAAATATGTGAAAATAGTCGCGGCAAGAGTTGAGTTTGTTGTCACAAGAAAACATGAGAGGAAATTGGGGAGCCTCTTTAAACGTAGATTGGCAATATGACGACCCCGAGACATTTATGTATATAGGCGTGATGACTACTTCAGGATATTTATGTATGAGCTACACTATGAGAACTATGATAAACGAATATTAGTAAGCTACAGAGCAGTGAAAATGCAGCAAGGACTACATACATTTATGAGTTCAGATGGCTTGAATCCTCCAATCCAGAGGAAAAAGCGTTCCACCGAAGTTCTCCACATCCCAGATATCAAGTAAAACACATCAGCTTTTGCAGCATCAGCTTTCATTCGGAAGAGATTGTAGTAGTGGTTTAAGACGGTTTCTACCAGCAACTGGAGCTCTATTTCGCTTACATGGGATTGCAATATGTTCCTCAACTCTACGTTCTTTTTTTGCTGCTCTTCAACCCAGAGACTATATTCCATTTCAAATGCAGCTATTCCTGCATATGCAGCACCAGTTAGGGACAAAATTCACGATACACACTAGCTGTTTTCAAGAAAGTCACATGACGTACGTTCAAGTAAATAGGGTCACACTCTTGTTTTACTAGCATCAATTTACCATCTTTCTAATAGACATTGTGAAGATTTTAGCTAGACAACAGCGTGTAACATTACCTAACAAAAAAGTGGAAGTAGTCTATTATTTTACGTAAAAGAGATTTTGAGCAGGTCTAGCTGAGTTAACATTAAGAGTCTAAAACAGTTGATAATTTAAACTACTCATGAACATAAAATGAAAAATGAGCTATTAAGCGACAAATCCAGTATCCGCGAACCTGGATTAATTGTTGAACTTAGCCCCATATTACCATTTGAACCTAAAATGTACAGTCCCTGCAATAAATTTATCGCGTGATGTGAGTTAATATGATACTGTATAGAAGTTAGAAACGTGAAGGAGAGAATTTCACTGACCTGCTGTCGAGCTCTCTCAAGTTCCATTTCAAGTTGTGCTAGCTTCAAATTGCTTTTTTCGAGCTGCTGAACATAAGCCTGTTGAAAAGAGTTGGAAAAGGAATCAAGATAGGAATTCTTCAAATATCTACAACACAAGAAATATTACAACTTTCACATACCTTTTTCCTCATACGGCTTTTACGTGCAGCTTCACGATTCTGTGCTAGACGCCGTTGTACCTAACTTTCAATATGAAAATATACTTAGCCTTTAACATCAGAGGTACATGTCGTTTATCTATTCGTTTTGGTTAAATCGCGAATGTTTCAATACTTTCACCTAAACCATATAAACACAGAAACGAGAGATAAATAGAGATTTAAAGGTATGTTAAGCCCACCTTGTCTGAAACACTCTTTCCTGCTTGATTATCCTCAGAGCCAGAGGGTATAAGTTGGTCACTAGAAGTATATCCCGACTACAATAACCAAAAATATCAGTTCAATAACGATAGAAACTTCGATTTTATTAGCTAGAAGATGCATGTATGGTTCTTTACCTTGTCATCTGCCCTGTCATTTGCCGGTGTGACCATACACGCACCAACACTGGGCATAATGTCACCTCTAAACGCGTCTTCCCACGTACTCATATGGTGGAACGGTTCGAATATGCCCATCCTTCTTGTGGGGGCAAATTGAGTTGATGTAGAACTCATGTTCATCGACTGAATCAAAAAGAAAGATCAAATAACTTAGACGCGAATTTTAGATTACTGCAGAGAGAGTACCAGAGTTAAAAGCTAAAAAAATCATTTGTAAGAAACCAAGAAATGACCGGACCACAAACAAACAAGTATTTTTTCGGATTATGAGAGGCACTTCTGGAGGATACAACAAATTCTAGCTATGAAATCACCGAACAAGTCGCCTTATAGTTTGATCATTGATGACATGATATAGACTGCAATTGAGTTTCTACCAACAACAACATATCCAGTGAAATCCCACAAGTGAGGTCTGGGGAGGGTAGAGTGTATCCCGACCTTACCCCTACCTCGTGGAGGTAGATAGGCTGTTTTCAAAGGACGCTTGGCTTCATAGCAGCAAATCAAAGTAGTTATGAAAAGGGAAAAAACATAGCAACTAATAACGAAAAGCAGCGCAAAACATCCAGAAAAGGAACAATAACAACAACAACAACAAAATAGTGCGATAACCTAAACACAATAAACAACAGATGATGGTAGATATCAAAAAGCAAGAAACTACAAGAATAAGTCTAGTACTACGACAAACACCACCAAGCCTAAATCAATCGAAAAGCAAGACAACGCTGCACTACCTACTAACCAAAAGAAATGAATTGTATCAAGAAATCATGGTCTATACGTCTACCCCGGGCCCTTGACCACCAATCCCCTCCGTCTAACACGAAAAATAGAATAGAGACTCCAATAAGGAAATCCATCAAACTTGATAAAGATTTAAGGAAATAAATACAACTTATCCAAGTGAAGAATCAACTGAACTTTACTAAACACTCTGTTTCAGAAATTGTTAGCTATTTCGAAATAGCTTTTTATGCTTCTTATCAAACCACAAATTAAAGGTAACCAGAGTTCATCCATATTATTTCATGTAATCACTACAAAAAACACAAAATACCCCAAAAAAAATAAAAATTAACACAAATAAATAGACTTCTAGTATATAACACACCACAACAGTTGAGTCAGAATTTTCACTAAAGGAAATTTAAAATACGAACAAGCAAACATAACATATGAATATGTCAAACTAAAGAGATTCAACATATACTATATATACATAAAAAAAAATAACTTCACATATACAGTGTAATTTTCCAGCGTAACGAGCTCAGATGAATTCTCCCCTGAACACACACATAAAAACATACAACTACAACTATTATATGACTCTGTCTCTCTTTGTGATATATAATTCAAGAATTGAACTTTTTAGGCAAAACATTAACACTAAAAAGAAAAAATACAAAAATAAACTGAAAAATTAAATTAAGGGGCTAACCTGTTCATAAGTACAAAGAAACTCTTCTGCAAATTGGAGTTTTTCAAGAAAATTAAAATTGAATTATACAAAGAAGAAGGGAAAAAAAAAGTGGCATTTAGAGGCAGAGAAAAAAAATAAACTGGCAAAAGAAAGTTTATAGTAAATTTATAAACAAAGATTAAAGTACTATGAAGGAAAAAATAAAAAAGAGACAAAGTATTAAAGAATTTGATTGCCTTTTTGAAAATGCTTGTCAATTTTTTGAAGGCTTTATAGCGTTATCAAACAATATTTTTATATTATAGACATAGGCGCACACACATGGACTTGGCATATTTATAATTATTTCTAACAAACTTTAACTAACCTACCACCCTTTACGGAATTAAGAATTTAGACGTCGTGAATTTTGAATTTAAAGAGTATATTTTAAATGTATATTAAGTTTGTATATACATAATTCTAGATGTATATCTAATTTTATATATACTTATATTTACACTTATATAATAATTATTTATATTTAGGATTCAATTTCGAAATATTGTTGAATTTTATCATATTCATGATTTCATTGTTGGATCTGTCACTAAATATGACAATTAGGGGTGGTGTGCAATTTTAAAGCTATGGAATCGAATCAATAAGTTTAATCAATCATCTATTAAATTTTAAACCTAATTAATAATAACTCAAATGGTTATTGAGTTCAGTAATATTCTAAAAACGTAAATTTTATATTCTAAATTCGCCTCTAATAACACACCATTATTTCACTGGTCCTTTCTCATGGCTCATTTGGCTTAATGTTTTCTCTTTTATTTTATATAATTTTTTAAATGAAAAAAAAAAACATTTCCCTTTGTTGACATCTTCCTACTCTTGTCCTTTAATTCTCTTTTTTTATTTATTTATATGGTATTATTTTATTATTAATTTGTTTGAAAAACATTACATATTTATATATTTGCAAACATTTAATCGAAAACTTATCATGTTCTTCATAATGAAGAGTTATTATAGTTACACATCTATTATGGTATGTGTATATATACACAAACTTCAAAAATCTCATTGTCTTTTACTTAAATTTCGTTTTGAGTTAAATTATATCACGTAAATTAAACGAGAAATAATATATATTATAGTAGGGTGAGAAAAGGGATTCTTATCTTGTAAGAAATTACTAAAAAACATTGAAGGATATATTAAAATGGGAAGATCCAAAACTTGTAGGGATATTATAAAGATCTTGATGACTTTTTTATATAACAATAATTTTTGTATTTGGGCAAAGTGCGTACTTAGCTTTCTATAGCAATAGATTTATTCTTCATTTATAGATTAAACTTTTTCTTATATACATATATTTCTTTAATTAGTTGAATATTATTAATTGTCTTATCACTTTAATTTTTTTAATTATTTGATGTCTCTGACACTCTTTTCATGTGGGTAGGCCTAATAACATGAAAAATTATATTCTGTTTAATAGATTATCAGACTAGTTAAATTGTGTTAACCATTTGATTTAAAATTATATTATTTTCAGAGATTATATTGTACTTATTCACATACCTCTTTAAAATTTGGTGTTTGATATCTATATTAGGATTTACCTAATTGTGAATATATGTGTATTATAAGGCTCATTTCTATGAACGATACTTTCAATAAAAAAGAATCATTTAATTTCCAAACGTTTCAGCTAACAAAATATTTTGATAATAGTTGTTGATTCATTGTTAGATTTAATTTGCTTTTTAGCGATAAAATTTGTCCATCGCTGAGTTTCATTTTTTAATAGTGAATATTATTATTTTTTATGTAGCACTTATTTTTATATTCATAAAATTGTACTGTAGTTGGTTATGATTTACCCACATACCTAATATTGCAAAAATCGTTTACTTATCCAGTAAAATAGTAAAGAAACCACTCGAAAGACGGCTTATATAAGGTGGTGATGAGGTGTTCCAACATATATAAAAATAATAATGGTATAACAGCCTCTGGCACCAACTAAAAAATATATATTAAAAAATTAAACTTATATGCACTTACAATTTTTTATATTTGGAGTATAATTTTATCTGTAATAATAAATAAAATAAAATAAAATAACTAGTCTCGGCTAATTATTTATGATGGAGTGGTAAGTAGTCCTTCATCTTTTAACCAAAAGTCTTATGTTTGCATCCCCTAATACGAAGTCGTCTTTGTTAGGAGGTATTTTTCATTCAATGTGTGACTCTCTGGCGCAAATTCAAATTTAGTCGGGCTCCAATGTGAATATCGAACACCATATAGAAAAAATAAAATAAACAAAGTGAACTAATAGTATAAAATCTTTTACACTTAATTAGTGTGAAGTTAATTTCAAAAAAATTGTCAAATAATTAAAAAATGGAAACTTAGGATGTGTTTGGTTTGGAGGAAAACATTATGGAAAATATTTTTGAATTTTGATTGGTCAAAATGTTTTGAAAAATATTTTCTCTAGGAAAACAAGGTCTTTAAAAATGAGAAAAATGTTTTTTTTTAGCGAAAATAGAGATTAAAACAAGTTTTATAAATGCCATTTTACATTAATTATATCCTCCCGACCCTCAGGCACACCTCACCTTCATCCTGCCGTCGTAGCCCCAATTCCCACCACCCCACACCCCTACCTCCACCACCCACATTTGGTATTTGTCTATATATAATGCTTTTAAAATAATATTCTTTTTTACTTACCAAACAAAAAAAATAAATTACTTTTTTATGTTTTTTTATTGAAAAAATAACTTTAATGGAGTAACTTTTTAGAATAATCCCACTTGTATAAATTTAATAAAGTTATATCGACCGAAGCTTGACAACGATTAGGAGACAAAAAAGAAAGGCAATTTGATGAAAAAAAGAATTAAAGTTGGACTTGACACAACGTGAAATCAACTTCAATGTCTTCCATTAAAATAATTTCTCTAAAAATCAGGTGATATTTGGTCCAATTTGATCTTTTTTACTAAACTTAGTGATGAAATAAAGAATTCCATATTCGTGAATGAAGAGAACTTTTTAAATACGGTTTGATCAACTTTCGGTATGAATTAACTTTTTAGATGAAATTAGCCTTAAAGTTTATTTAATATGATATCAGAGTTAGACTCTCGATATTGCCCCTCCAACTAGGTTGTCTACACCCTATTATAGATCAGATGACTTTTTGAGTCTTTCAAGGATGATTATAATAATTATCAATCTTGATTCAACTAATAATTTGCTCCTATCATAAATACACATAACTTTTTACTCCAATATATTCACAAACAGTTTTTTTTTGTTGGACTAGACTCAAATTAAATACCTTTCATTTGATAGTGTCCGAACGTATCGTGTGAAGGCGGTGATGAATGAAGATTCCCACATGCGTGAGGTAGGGGTGTACATAATCGGGTTTGTTCGGGTTTTTTAAATATCAAATCAAACTATTTGTGTAAATTTTTTAAATTTATAAATCAAACCAAACTAATAAAACTCGGGTTTTTTCAACCTCGGGTTGATTCGGTTTTTTCAAATACCAAATCAAACCATTGTGTCGAATTTTTAAATTTTTAAATCAAACTAAACTATTAAACCTCGAATTTTTTCAGGTTTATGGATTTTTCCGGTAAAGTATGCATACAAACATATAATTAACTTGTGCTCCAAATAGTTCTTTAGTCCAACCAAAATACAACTATCTAAGGTGTTTCTTAAGAAAATAACACAAAATATGAGATGAGTGATGACACTAAAATATGCAATAAATGCAATAAAATAATAATGAAATCATCATATAAAATAAATATTGCAAAGTCATAACAAAAATGATCATAATTTAAAAGTACTAAATTATGCTAAAATAAGTCTAATAAGTATTAGTTACATGATTAAATATTAAAGAAAAATAAAAATTAGATTATGTATTTTAAATGTCTAAACCAATGTAAAACTAAAGAACAAATATTCAACATTATTGTCATTCTTAGTATTGAATTAATTTATTTTATTAGCATAGTATTGATTTGATTTAGAATTGAGCTTTATTAGAGTTACTAATACTATGGACTATAACCATTATTGAACCATTCAAAATTCTAAGTATCAAAAAACTTTTAAAAATATGTTAAAAGATAAAAATTATGAAAACGTATAATTAATATTTAGAAATTATATCAAAGTAAATACTTTTATGTATAAAATAAATTTTAACAATTATATATATAATGTCGGATTGGTTTGGTCTTGGGTTGATTTTTTTAGTTAAAACCAAACCAACCCAAGTATAGTAAGGTTTTTTTTTTCCAATACCAAACCAAGTCAAACCAAACCGTTAATCGGATTTTTTTTCTAATTTGACTCGATTTACAATTTGATTCGATTTTGTACAAGGGTAGGAGGAGGGAGGGGGATTCGAACTTCCTCAATATGACTTGAAAAAATATCTCCAGTGAATTAAGTTTTGAAGTTGAGTTAAATCCGAGTTTCCTTTTTCAATTGGCATCAACCACATCTCATCAAATGTTTACTTTTAATCTAATCTTTGTTTAATTTATTATTGCTGCAAGGTTCCAACATGTTGAGTGCTTGTCTCCTCTATTTTTTCACAATTTGTCTGCCTTACCTATAAAATCTTTAATTAACATAAAACTCCTCTTTAATTTTTGAAAGTTAGATTTATTAAATAGTATAACTTTATTTTTCACTTTCACTTTTTATTTCTAGTGAATTTGATTTCACTCCAAATTACTTTAGACTAACAATATGTATAGACCTTTTTTTTTTTGCAATTAGATGTTTAGACTTGTTGTATGATAGTGTACTCGATATATAATATAATCTCACTTTTCTATTTTATCTTTTTTTTTGTAAATTTATTTTAACTTGATTGGGCAACAGAGTAAAAGAACTAAAAGTCCAAAACAAAAGAATCCATATTTCTAAGAAGATTTTTACTTCAAAGTGTAAAAACTTTTATAGAGTATTATTTTATAAAAATTAATTAAACTTTTTCCTATAAATAGAAAAAGTAAAGAAAAGGAGGCAAAATACAAATTACTCTCAGCTTCTTTCTATCATTTTTCCA